ATGTGGGATCCGAACCCTCGGGTGGGAGCGCCGCCGTGCTTCCGAAGTGGCGCACTTATCCAGTGCGCCACCGGGCCGGCCCCTAAGTTTCTTTTCTTTATTAGCTCTTTTCTTCACTTGCTTTTGGTTTATTTTGCTCTTCCTTGTCTAATTGCTTGATGTAGGAACTTAGATTATTGATTTGAGACTTCTCCTGTTTTCTAATGTAAGCATTTAGTGCTATAAATTTCCCTCTTAGTATGGCTTTCATTATGTCCCACAACTTTTATGTTGTGTTTTTATTTTCATTCAGTTCTATATATTTTTTTTATTTCCCTTTACACTTCTGTTTTGACCCATGCATTATATAAAAGCATATGGCTTAGTTTCCCAGTGTTTAGAGATTTTTCTGCTGTTTTTCTGTTACTGATTTCTAGTTCGACTCCATTGTGGTCAGAGAACATACTCTGTATGAGATCAATTACTCTACAATGGTCAAATTTTGTTTTACGATAAAGGATATAGTCTATCTTGGTATATGTTCCATGGGCACTTGAAATGAATATGTATTCTGTTGTTGGTGGTGTAATGTTCTATAAATGTTGATTAGATTCTTTGGTTGAAGGTGTTTGGATTTCTTCTATATCCTTGCTCATTTTCTGTCAAGTAGTTCCATCAGTTGCTGAGAGAGAGGTATAAAAGTCTTCAATTATAACTGTGGATTTGTCTATTTTTCCTTTCACTTTTATCCATTTTTGTTTCATACATTTTGCAGCTCTGTTATTTGGTGCATAAACATTTAGGAATGTTATATCTTCTTGGTGGATTGACCCTTTTATCATTAATATCTCTCTTTGTTTGTATATATTTCATTTTATTTGAAGTGAGTTTCTTGTAGACAACACATAGTTGAGTCATGTTTATTTCCCTTTATTCACTCTGTCAATCTCTGTCTTTTAACTGATGTATTTAGAGAAATTGTAATTATTGATATGTTAGAGCTAGATCTGACATTTTTATTTTTTGTTTGTTCTCTCTGTTTTTTTTTGTTTCCATTTTCTTTGTCCTAATTTTCCTGTAAATTACTTGAACATGTTTTAGAATTCCATTTTGATGTGTCTCTAGTGATTTTAAGTGCATCTCTTAGGGCAGTTTTTGTAGTAGTTACTCTAGATTTTACATTATATATTTACAACATCCCAGTGCAATGTGTGTCAACATTTTACCAGGTTTGGTGAACTGTAGAAAACTTTGCTTCCTTTATCTGTTTACCCTCCACATTTGTAATTGTCTTAAATATTCCATCTACATACATTGAGAACTACATCAGACAATGTCATTATTTCTTTGAATATTTTTCAGTTCCACCTTTTTTCTCATTTCCTTACAGAACTCTAATGATGTGTGTTAGATACGTGTTATACTCCCACAGGTCTCAAGGTTTTGTTCAATTATTTCCAATCTATTTCCTCTCTGATATTCAGATTGTATACTTTCTATATTGTTCTGCTTTTAAGTTCACTGATTCTTTCCTCTGAACCCTCCATTCTTCATTTTAGCCCATCCACTGAGGATTTTTTGTTTTGTTTGTTTTTTGTTTATTTGCTTGTTTTGTTTACTGAGCTTTCCAGTTCTGAAATTTCTGTTTAGTTTTTTCTTTACATCTTCTATTTCTCTGCTGAGACTTTTGATTTTGCTGTCAAGACTTTATACTTTTTATTCATTTCAAGTCTGAAATTCTTTGTTGAAGCATATTATGATGGTTTCTTTAAAGCCCTTGTCATATAATTCTAACATTTCCATTACCTTAATGTTGGTATGCATTAATTATCTTTTTTCCTATTGAGTTGAAAGTTTCCTTGTTCTTGGAATGAGGAATAATGTCTTTTGATTAAAACCTGGCATTTTGTGTATTATGTTGTGACACTCTAGATCTTATTAAAATATTCTGTTTTAAGAGGCTTCCTCTGATATTGAAATGTCAGAGGAAGTGTGTACATTGCCTGTTACTGTCAGCTGAGATGGAAGTCCAGGTTTCCCCAGTCAGCCTCTTTTGATATGATAGAGTGAAAGTCCAAGCTCCCTTTGTGATCTTAACTGACACCACAGTGTTTGGGATCTCATTTTTTGTCCAGTGGGGATGAAAGCCCCATCTCTCCACTCTGCCTTCTCTGACAACAAGTTGGTGAATGGTGTTGGTGTGCCTTCCCAGAGCCTCAGGATGGGGGAAGTCTAGGCTCCCCTCTCAGACTTTGGTGGTTTGGGTGAGAGTAGAGTTGCAGTTTTTTTCTTTGTATTTGACTGGGGTAGGGCGGTTAATGTCTAAAAAGTTTTCTGTCTTGCCAGGCTGCCCCTTTTGTTGTACTTTGGCTGAAGAGAGAAGGCTTTTATCAGGACTTTAGTTGTCTACATCCATTGCTGTACCTGGATTTTCAGGTTCCCCAAAACTAGTCTGTGATGTATGAAGCAAAAAGAAAATTCAGAAACTCACTGCTGTGTCATTCCTCAGATCTCAAGGTTACTAACCAGTCATCTATCTTTTCACTATTGCAAGTCTTTTTATATTTGTTTTATGTATAATGTCCAGGGTTTGTAATTGTACTTAGCAGGAGGAATAGGGAGAGTATTTCTATTCCATCTTTCCAGAAGCTGAATTTGCCAGTTTTTTAAACAATATTTCTTTAAAGAAATGAGAAAGGGTTTTCTCCCTTTTCTTTAAAATATAAGATGGTTCTATACTTCAAAGTTAAACTTAATTAGTGTTATATTCTTCTCACCTCAGGCAAAATCCATCCACTTGGCAGCATACTTAGGGAGATTTGTTTTATTATTTGAAGGTTGACTGTCTCATCTTTTCTAATCTTTTAAATAAAGAATAAAAGTAAAATTAAGAACTTGCTGATAGAATTTTGCCTTGTGAGTAAGATGGCACTTTGTCATGGAAAAAATAATAAACCCTTGTTCTTAATACATAACAATGATCTCTTCAGGAATACTGCTTGGATTTCTTAAGCACATTTTTTCCAGCCTTGTATCACTATTCTAATATTGCTATATCAAAAATAAAATTGTTAATAAGTTTGCTGGTAGGAACAGAAAAATAATACTTCACTTATATTTCCTATTTTCAAAATGTAGGTAAAATAACCCATCAATCATTTTCTTCCTCCAGATGAGGGGTATGTCTGACAAGTCACTCCGACTAGTGCTGTCCACATTCAGCAACATACGGGAGGAGCTTGGACATCTTCAAAATGACTTGACAGTAAGATTTATTTTGATTTTTCTTTCCAAAACTTTCCTAGTTCTTAGCTTGCTAACATAGAAATCAAGTCATTCACGGGGCCGGCCCAGTGGCACACTGCTACAGTGCGCCGCTTGGGAGTGCGGCGGCGCTCCCGCCGAGGGTTCGGATCCCACATACAGACCAGTTCCCGCTCACTGGCTGAGCGAGGTGCAGGCGCAACACCGAGGGTTGCGATCCCGTTGCCGGTCCCAGTCCGGTACGGGCGCGACACTGAGGGTTGCGATCCGTTGCCAGACACGAAAAAAGACAAAAAAGAAATTAAAAAAAATAAATCAAGTCATTCAGTCTACCTTTTGAAAATTTAATACAACACAATATTATGCTCATCCAGACACAGCAACATTATTTACTTGTAACAGCTAATTGGGGTTGAGAAAGGAGGAAAGAGCTGTACAATGTATAAATGAAAGAATGTTGGTTGTGCACTTATTATTTAGTTTACCACTAAGGTAATTTAATGCTTAAAGCCAGAGAGTAGCCTGCAAAATTAGAATAATCTGACTCATTGGATGGGAATTTCCCCCTTTTCTGTAATAATAAATCATGCCCTGAATTTCTCTCCAAACATAATAACTTGAAAACTTCTTTCTCCACGAACTTAAACTTTTCTATTTTCTATTTTAATTGGTGTTCTTGGTGCCATCAGCTAGATACATTCAGACTGCTTTCCATACAATGAATAACTCCTTGAAGACTCTGAAGTGGTTTTTTCTATTTCTGGGTTCTGATGAACATATTTAGATTCTAATTTGAAAATTCACTACCTGCTGAAATTAACAAGGACTCTCTGTAAATTGGGGGATATCATTAAAATAATTCAGAAGGTTCAGCTTCATTGCACTTAGTCAATCCATCAAAATGTCTCTTTCAATGCAAGTCTTAATAGTTTCAATCCTTTTCTATCCCATATTTTGCTTAACTTTGAAGAATTCTGCCTTATTAAGCAACTAAAAATGAAACAAGTGCTTACTTAAATCTTTCAATGCAAACAAATTTTTGTATTATGTGACTGTTGACAAGTTTCTGTAATTCTGAGTCATAATAAATAATTTATGCTTCTAGTCATTGGAAAATGACAAGATAAGACTTGAGAAAGACTTGGCATTCAAAGAAACTCAAATAAAAGAGTATGAAGGACTCTTGGCATCAGTGAGAGCAAATAATCGCCAGCAGCAGGTAAGTTGATGCTTTTATTGATGAACTAGACTGATAGCTTTTCATATGCACAATTACTGGCACATTGGAATTATGAAATACAATCCACACAGAATTAAAATATGATGGAACAATTTGTTCATATGATAATTTATTGGATTTGGGTATTTCCAATGACTGAAAACCCTATTCGAAAAACATATAATCTTATGTATTTTGACAAAAAGTATACACGGTGCACGATGATCTGTGTTGTTGGGTGACAAGAATTGTATAAATACTGACTATCTAGGTTTACTCATTTATTTAATTTACTAATGTGTCAGAGAAAAAAATATTTTGTAGAACTTAACACGTTTGTACAATGAATGAAGGAATGAATGAACAAACTCTAGAAGAGTTCTCCTGGTGTCCGAGCAGAGATGAATCCTAGGAAATTGTAATGAGTCTCTCACCCCTTCCTAATCTTCACTCCAATGACTATCCCAAATTCTTGTTCAGTTGCTAGCTGTCACATAAATAATCAGGTATACGGTCATTTTGGTGCCTACTAGAAGGCAGGATACAGCATTGTCAAAGAGTAGCAAGAGTTTGATTGCTAAATTGGGACATTGAAAATTCATATAGTCTTGATTCCTTCTCACTCAAGATAGGCAAGTGAGACTAGGGGCAAAAAACTCTAATATCTTACATGGCTGATTTAATATACCATCTAAGGACGAAAATATAAGAAAGCTGGGCAAGGAAAAATATTTACTTGATTTGACTGAATGAATCAATTAAAAGAGCACTCCCCCACAAAAGGTAAAAATGGATTTGTCTTACGTACTTGTGTCTTCCTTACAGCAAGGACTTCAAGACTCAAGCTCAAAATGCCAGGCACTGGAAGAAAACAATCTCTCTCTTCGACATACACTGTCAGACATAGAATACAGACTAAAAGAACTGGAATACTGTAAACGTAATTTAGAGCAAGAGAATAAAAATCTTAGAATGCAGGTATTAAAATTTTGTTTTAAATGTGTAGTATTGCTTAGTTATAACATATAATCCTAGCACTGGCCTACCTACATATATATACACACACATATGTATGTATATGTGTATATAATACACACGCATATCTCTATATGTATAGATATGTATGTATGTATATATAGATATATATACCCTATTCATCTTGAGAAAATACGTGGACTGCTTTCTGATGACCTCACACAGTTAGGTCTTATCTCACTGACATTTGAGCATTATAATTACGTTCCTGAAAATCACTCATTATTTCAATGTCTTATTAATTTATTTTTAATTTTTCTTTATCTTTTGGTGACTGGCCAGTACAGTACAGGGATCAAACCCTGGACTTTGGCTTTGGTGTTATCAACGCCACACTCTAACCAACTGAGCTAACCGGCCAGCCCCCAATGTCTTATTTAATCACATGGTTTTCATCTAATAATAAGCCTCGTAACATAATATGTATTTCCTTCATAACAGTTCAATTATGGAAAGTTATTTTTGTCTTCTGTAGGTTTCTGAGACTTGCACAGGCCCGATGCTGCAGGCTAAAATGGATGAGATTGGCAGCCATTACATGGAGATGGTAAAGAACTTGAGAATGGAGAAAGATAGAGAAATCTGCAAGCTAAGGGTATGTTTATACTACATTGCATAAATACACAGGTCAGCAAAAACTTTCTAACAAGATAATGGTGGTTTTGAATTTAAAGCTACAGGAAAAATTAACTGAAGGTAGAGCTTTAGGAATATGCCATAGAATCTTTTGTTTTAAATGCACATCACAAAAAATAAATAAATGCACATCACTGTGTATAAAATATAATTGTTCAATGTTTTCTAATTTAGCTTAATCTCTTCTAAGAAAGTAAAAGAAGATATTAACTTCAGTGTTTTGGCTTTTTATTAATTTATTTTTGGGGGGTAGGTGGAGGACCTTTATGATCTTGCCTAAAGCATGCTTATGCAGGCAAGAACAATATTTGAGACTATCCAGCAAAGCCACAGTTGGATTCATAAAAATCCTCTCTTAACTTTGAGTAATAATAAATAGCAAGGACTTTGTCAAGCACATGGATAAAAACAGTGTTGAATTTTTTGGTACCTGTAATTGGCATCAAAATTAGGGTGATATTTGCAAGAATCAGTACACACTGCCATATCTCATAACTATAGGTTGAATTGACTTAGTCTAACCCTTAATTTACTAATTCCTAAATGTGATCAAATATACTCAAATATTTTAATGGACAAAATGATTACAGATTTTTCTCTCCAAATATCACTGTACAATCTTTACCAAAAATCAAAACAAAACAAAACATTATTTGTTACAGAGCCTACCAATTCTCCTAGCTGATTTCCTCCACTGGTTTCTTTTCCATCCCAACATTACTAACAGCACTTTAACCTACCAGAAATCTATGTACACATATGTGGTAAAGAAAAAAGTAGACAAGATTTGTAGTCAGAAGACCTACCTTGGAGTTGCAGCTGTGTTACTGTATAACTCTGTGTTATTTAACCTCTCTGGAACTCATTTACCTGTTTTGTAAATGAGCATTATAATAATTCTTATCACACAGGGATGCAGTGAGGAGTGAGATAAGTCATGCAGGAGGAATATTCTGTGAACTGAAAATCACAATATAGTATTAGTTATTAGTATTAGTATTTGTGTGTCCTTAATAAGTATATGAAGAAATCTAAAGCCTGTTATTTTAGCTTTATTTTTATTCTTGTGGCCCAAGACTGTTACTTAGATAATGCTTAGTTCTAAATAGCAAAGGTACCTGTAAAAATTGAGAAATTCCTAATTGGCACTTCAATTTATACGTTATGTTCATAAAATTCTGTAGAAGTTTATAAGTATTGGTATTTTGCTTTTCATTTCATAATTGGCTATGTGACTTCGTGTCACTAGACCTCTGTGGAACTTAGTTACATATTTTGTAAATGAGGGTTACGATAATTCTTATTTCTTTTTGAATCCTTAGTCCCAATTAAACCAGTATCAAAAAGATGTTTCAAGAAGAGAAGGAAGTTGTAGTGACTTTCAATTCAAGCTTCATGAACTGACAAACTTGCTAGAAGAGAAGGATTCCCTTATAAAGCGTCAGTCAGAGGTGAGAAAGGAAGGGCGGGGGGTGGGGGGGGGAACAGCACAACCCAGTCCTGTAGGATAAATACTCCCATGGACTAGAAAAGAACCCATTTCCAAGACTCACTTTATTACATAACGTAGAATGTAAGTGTATTTGAAGAAGTAGAAGAGTCATATTTTAGAAGAAATAATTCAATGAAAGCTAGAATTGAAGCAAAAAATAAGTGCTGTGGTACATTTAATATTTTTAAGACATTGGTTTTATATCTCATTAGCAGTGAAATTTCCAAGAAGACTGTGAGTTTTTTACTAGATTTTGAGCTACTTCATCAAGGCACTGTGTTACATGAGTATTCCTCCATGTATCTGTAGCATATTGCCCAGGATCTGGCATACGATAAGTATTGAAGGAACTAACAAAAATGGTGACTAATATTGTATTGCTGTTATTGAGCAAATGGTGCTTGTCATTCAGTGAGAGACTTTCTGTTAGGAACTTATATCTGCTTCCATACTGAAGTTTCAATACTTCTCGGCTATGGCTATATTAAGCTTTTTAGGACAAAGACTTTCACATCCTCATCTTGAGAACCATGCCCATTTAATCTCAAGTTATCCCCAAAATGTAGATATCCTATATTAGTAAGTTCCTGCCCAGGCATATGATATAACTTATTAGGTACGGTGAAACAACACTGTATGCTATTAAATAAATGGGATTAGAACGTTCTGACCTCAAGGCTAAAAAGGAAAGGGCGGGAATTATTCTTAGTAAACTTGCTAAAATGATCAAACATAATTCTTCCTCAAGTTTCTAATTTTCTTCAAATGATTGATTATGTTATCCTTTATTTGTAAGGAACTCTCAAAGTTGAGACAAGAAATATATTCATCTCATAACCAACCCTCCAGTGGTGGAAGGACTACTATTACCACTAAAAAGTAATGTATTTTTAAATGAAATTTGAATATAATCATGGTTATCATATAATCAAAGCTATTGCACATTTAATTGATATATACATCCTTAGATAGTTTTCTGTTTTCTGCTTACCAATCATTCTACTGAAGAATAGTCACAAAAAGACATTGCTATTATGTAATGTCAGCAAAATCCTGTAGCACCCCTTTCCTGTACTTACAATACATTAAATACTGTAGAAGTGGAAAACAAATAATTGGTTGTTTAACCAACCATATTAGTTAGGACTCTTTCAGTTGCATGTGAAGGAGATCCAACTTAAACTAGGAATTAGATGATTCACTTAATTAGGATGGCTTGGTGTCAAGATGGATTTGTGTGCTCAGAGTATCTTCATAAATCTGTCTTTCTCTGTATCTTGGCTCTACTTTTTCCTGTGTAGATATGATTCTCAGGTGGGGTTTTCCCTCATTGTAGTGATATGACCGTAGCTTACATTCCAGCAATTTAGCAAAACCAAAAGGAAAGTAACTATAGTTTCAGCAGAAGTTTATTTTGGATATTTCATATGAATAGAATAATATAACATGTAGTCTTGTGACTGGATTCTTTCATTTTGCATAATGTTTTCAAGATGCATTCATACTTTAGCATGTATCAGTACTTTATGCCTTTTTGTTGCCAAATAATTTCCCATTTTATGAATATACAATATTTTATTTACCTATTCATCAGTTGATGTGCATTTGGGTTGTTTTCAGTTTTTGGCTACTGTGAATAATGCTGCTATGAACATCTGTGTACAAGTTTGTGTGGAATATATACTCGTTTCTTTTAAGTATATACCTAGGGGTAAAATTACTGGGTCATATGGTAACTCTATGTTTAACTTTTTGAGGAACTGCCATATTGTTTTCCAAAGCAGCCGCACCATTGTACATACCCGCAAGCAGTGTATGAGGGTTCCAAATTCTCCCCATCTTTGCTACCACTTGTTATTTTCCATCTCTTGGATTATAGCCATCATCGGTAGTAGGAAGTGGTATTCATTTATAGTTTTGATTTGTATTTCTCTAATAATTAATGTTGTTTAGCATTTTTTCATGTGCTCATTGGCCATTTATATATCTTCTTTGGAGAAATGTCTATTAAAATTCTTTCTCCATTTTTTAATTAGGTTGTCTTTTTATTGTTGAATTGCAAGAGATCTTTATATGTTCTAGATACAAATCCTCTATCAGAGATATGATTTGCAAATATTTTCTCCCATTTGTCTTTTCATTAACTTGATAGTATCATTTACAGCATGGGATTTTAATTTTGAGGAAGTCCAATTTATTTTTTGTTTTCTTGCTTGTGCTTTTGGTGTCATATGTAAGAAACCATTGCCTAAGCCAAGTCGTGAAGATTTACACCCATGTTTACTTCCAAAATTTTTACCATTTCATCTATTACATTTGGATCTATGATCCATTTTGACTTAATGTTTTATGTGATGTGAAGTAGTTCATTCTTGTGCATAGGGATATCCAGTTGTCCCAGCACCATTTGTGGAACATGCTATTCTTTCCCCCACTGACTTGACTTGGCCCTTTTGTCTATAATCAAATGACCATAAATGTGAGGGTAAATTTGTAGACTCTCAGTTTTATTCCATTGATCTATTTATCTGTCTTTATACTAGTGTGGCACTGTCTTGATTACTATAGGTATTTTAATAAGTTTTGAAATCAGGAGTGAGTCTTCAAACTGTCCATCTTTCCAGGATTGTTTTGGCTATTACTGGTTCCTGGCTTTTCCACATCAATTTCAGGATAAGTTTGAAATTCTGTTGGGATTTTTATAGGAATTTCCTTGAATATGTAGAACACTTTGGGTAGTATACCATTTTAACAATATTAAGTCTTCTGATCCAAGAGACTGGGATCCCTTTCCATTTAGATTCTCTTTAATTTCTTAAAACAATATTTTGTAGTTTCCGTTGTATACATTTGGCAATTATTTTATTAAATTTATTTCTAAGTATTGTATTTTTGATGTTACTGTAAGTGGAATTATTTTCTTAATTTCATTTCAGATTGTTCATTGCAAGTGTATAGGATGACAATTGATTATTTTTTCTGTATTGACCATGTGTTCTTTAACTTTGTTGAACTTGTTTATTAGTTCTAATAGTTTTTTTTTCAGAGTCCTTAAAAATTTCTATATACAAGATCATGTTATTTGCAAATAGAGATAGTTTACTTCGTTATTTTTAATCTGGATGAATTTCATTTATCTATCTTGCCTGATTGCCCTAGAACCTCCAGTAAAGTGTTAAACAGAAGTGGCAAAAGTGGATATCCTTGTCTTGCTCCTGATCTTAAGGGGAAACATTCACTCTTTAAGCTTTAAATATGATGTTAATTGTGGGCTTTTTATAGATGCCTTTTATCAAGCTGAGGAATTTCCTTTCTATTTTTAGTTTATGGAGGTTTTCTTTTGTTTTGTTTTGGTTTTTAATCATGAAAATGTTTGGGAAATTTTCAAATGCTTTTCCTGTGCCTATTGAGACACTAAGATTTTTGCCCTTTATTCTATTAATATGATGTATTATACTAAATAATTTTCAGATGCTACAACAACCTTGCATCCTTGGAATAAAGCCTACTTGTTCATGTTACATAACTATTTTTATACATTACTGGATTTGTTTTGCTAGCATTTTGTTGAGAATTTTACTTCTATATTCATAATATTCATATTCATAAGCTTTCCTTTTTTTTTTTTTCTTGTGATGTATTTTTCTGATTTTGGTATCAGGGTAAAACCAGTCTCATAGAATGAGCTGAGAAGTGTTCCCTCCTTTTCTATTGCTTGGAAGACTTTCTGAGGATTAGTATTGATTTTCCTTTAAATGTTTAAAAACTGCCCTGGTTGGAGCTGTTTGAGCCTGGGCTTTTCTTTGTGGGAAGATCTTTTTTCTTTAATTACTAATTCAACCTCTTTACTTGTTGTAGATTTATGCAGATTTTCTATTTGTTCTAGAGACAGTTTGGTGGTTTGTCTTCCTAGGAATTTGTTCATTTAATCTAAGTTATCTGATCTATTAGCATACAGTTTTTCATAGTACTTCTATATATAAATTTTTATTTACGTAAGGTCAGTAGTGATCTCCCTCTTTTGTTCCTGATTTTAGAAATTTGAGTCCTTTCTCTTTTTTCTTGGTCAGTCTAGATGAGCGTTTGTCAGTTTTGTTGACTTTTTTAAGAATGAATTTTGGTTTTGACTATTTTCCCTATTATTTTTCTATTCTCTATTTCGTGTATTTCCTCTCTAATCTTTTGTTGTTGTTGTTTGAGGTTAGCTTGCTCTTATTATTCTGGTTGCTAAGGTGGAAGGCTCTTATTGATGTGAGAGTCTTTTTCTTGTATAATTAGGGGTTTAAGGCTATAAATTTCCCTCTGAGCATTGCTTTCACTGTATCCCATAAAATTCAGTATGTTGTGTTTTCATTTGCAGTTGTTTCAAAGTATTTTCTGACTTCTTTTGTTATTTCTTCTTTGATCCATTCAGATTTAGGAATGCTAATTAATCTACACATATTTGAGAATTTCTCAAATTTGCTGTTTTATATACTTCTAATTTTATTCCATTGTAGTCAGAGAACATAATTTGCATGATTTGCAGTCTTTCTAAAGTTATCAAATCTTTTTTATAGCCTAACATATGATCTTTCCTAGATAATGCTCCATGTGCACTTGAGAAGAATATGTATTCAGCTGTTGTTACATGGAGAATTCTATAGATGTCTTTTAAGTCTAGATGGTTTACAGTGTTGTTCAAGTCTTCTATTTCCTCATTCATATTCTGTTTAGTCATCAAATATGGAAAGTGGGTATGAAGGTCTTAAATATTATGTAGTTACCTATTTCTCCCTTCAATTCTATCAGGTTTTGCTTTATGTATTTTGGGGCTCTGTTTTTAGGTCTGTATATGTTTACAGTTGTTATATCTTATTGATGGATTGACCCCTTTATCATTATAAAATACCCTTCTTTGTCTCTTACAACAATTGCTGTTTTAAAGTCCATTTCATCTGATATTAATTAAGCCACTCAAGCTCTCTTTTGGTTACTATTTGTATGGAATATCTTTCATTTTTTTTTATCCTTTCACTTTCAAACTGTTTGTCTTTGAATTTAAAGTGTAACTCCTGTAGATTGCTATCCTGTAGTTGGATTATGTTTTTATACATTCTGCCAATCTTTCCTTTTAGTTCAAGTGTTTAATCTATTTATATTTAATGTTATTTGTGAGTTAGGATTTACATTTGCCATTTGCTATTTGTTTTCTATATATCTTGTATATTTTTTGTTCCTCTATTACTTCATTACTGCCATTTCTTTTACTATTTTATTTATTTTTTTCCTTAGGTTTGCCCTAGAAATTTAATTAGCATCTTTAAAAAATCTGCTTTACGTTATGCTATTGAAATTTAATTACAATAATATACAAAACCTTTGCCCTTATATAGACCTGTTCTTTTTGTTCTCATTTGTGCTCTTATTGTCATACAAATCACATCTTTGTACATTATGACCATTTACACAGATTTATAATTATTGAATTATGCAGTTGTTTTAAAAATCAGATAGGAGATAAAAAGAGTTAAAAACAAAAGTATGTTTGTACTATCATTTCTATTTACCTAAATAGTTACCTTTACTGGTGATCTTTATATCTTCATATGGATTTGGGATACCGTCTAGAGTCTTTAAATCTCAGTCTGAGGAATTCCCTTTGCTATTTCTTGTAGGACATATTTTCTAGTGACATTTTCTCTGAGTTTTTGTTTATATGAGGACATATTACTTTTCCTTCATTTCTGAAGAATAGTTTTGATGAATAAAGAATTCTTAGCTGACAAGTTTTTTTTTTCTTTAAGCACTTTGAATATCTCATCTCATTGTCCTCCAGCCTCTATGATTTCTGATGAGAAAACAGTTTGCCATCTCGTTGAGGGTTCCTCTTACATAAT